TTCTAAACGAAATTTATTTACATTAGGATCCGATAAAACTAGAAGAAAATTAAACACATCTTGATTTCTGTTACTTTTTCAAGCGTGATCTCTTCTGTAAGACCTTTGTTTCTAGCTTCTTGAGCCTCCTCTGTCAGCATTCCTATTGATAGAAATGCCGCTGAAATGATGGTAGCTCCATGTCAGAGAACTTTGTGAACTATATTTGGCACATTGTACCACTTATATAGTCTTATATAAGTATTGCCCGAATTTCGTAGGATCTATAGCTGCTCCATTGTTAACTGTATTAAAAATAATTTTGAGTCTACGAATTAGATCTTTGTTTATTCCTTTAATTTTAGCAATGTTGGCTGTATTTTTAAAAAATCTGCGAGATAAATTTCTATCATCTGTAGTGCCCAGTCCTTGTTTGGGTAGCTTCATGGATCTCTTTAGTGTCTGTATCGTCCTCAAAGTTTTAAAAGACAGGTTATAGCAAGTTGGACAGCTTCTTCGTATTCGATCTTACTTTATAGTAGATCCAGATTATTAATTTATGAAGGTCTAGCTTTGCAGATTGGACAAACTGCCATAGATGAAGAAGAACATATACCTTGACATTGGAGATACCTTCTCCTCGCGGAGAACACTAATATGTGAGTCACCGTTCTCGCTTTATAACCTAAGTTTACGATAGTATCCGTTAAGCTCGAAATTTCTGTTTTAACTCTTCTTACCTCTTCCCTTATGACATCCGGTGTTTCTTTTATAAATTGAAATTGGAGAGATCTGCAAAATCTAGTAGACGATGGTCTTGAATTTTCTTAGAGAAGTGAAGAAGTACCCTGGACCGTAATACGTAAAGGTACTACCGATGTCAGAAACATACTTCCATCGACTGCCTTTGTACTTTGAAATTTCTGTCGGTACTCGTTGTGACTAGAAGAGCCATCACATCCTCATTTCGTTATTAGTGTAAATTGATCGCTAATTGTGTCCAAATCCCTTGTCGAAAGCGTTAAAAAAATTCTTTTTACAGTAATGATTGCAAAGTTACTCTGGCAAACGTTTCAGAAACTTCACCGTTATCAGGGTACCACTGCTTTTTCGTTAACAAAACTTCGTAAGTAGGTAAAATATTAGTTCAAAATTCTACAGACCGTGTTATCTTGATAGACTATAATCATGTTTTGATAAGTGCATCAATCAGTATTGCCAAAGCTCTTTCCCGAGAAAATGGGACATGGATGTCATGGTGCCAAGCAGCTCTTTAATTTTTATTTCTTTTAGTTCGTTCAGCGCGCTCGTCTGAAGATTTTTGAGGACGACCACCTTGTCCTTGCTAAGAATAGCATTGTTTTATTTGTCGGACGTGCATGAAACATCGTCTACCTCTTCTTTAAATGTAAATGTACATGTATTTTCAAGCCAATCTTTAAATCTTTTATAAAATCTACATTTACTACGACCAGCCACTTGCCATTTTCTATTAAAATGAGGTAAAAACGTTTTATTAAGGTACGTTTATTGAAGACGTTGTTGCGAGATTTTATATTTTTGATGCATTTGTCTAGATCGCAATTACAACCCCAAAGGCACTGCACTAATTCGCGATTCGAACACCGAAACATTCTGAGTATTCTGATGGTGACTTGTGTTTTTTGACTGACCGAATGTAGGGTAAGTGTAGGTATTACTGCGGTTTCTCAATGAAGGCGACCTTTGACAAAGAAAATAAAACCTTTTACGGCAATAAATGGACAACTTGAGCTATACCTATTATTCTTTAACTTGAACATTTACTTTTCTCAAAATATTGGATCCCTGAAAGCACAAATTTTATTAAAAAGCGTAGTGTAAAGAAACCATGCGTGTGCATATATTACTGCGGTTATGTGTCTATTACTGCGAGCCAAATACTGCATGTCAAATACTGTGGACGTTTCGATTATTGCGTTACTCTGGAATATTATATTTGCGAAATACTTGTACAATAAAATTTCCTCCACGAATTTCTTGCAAGGCTAACGCAACGTTTTCTTTAGGGTAGCATAACCTTACATTTCTCCTTTTCTTTATATCATTTGATATTTTTTGTTCTTTTTCCTTTGACTTCTTCCTTTGCACTTTTCCCATTTTCTTTTAAACATATACACACAGCTACAGTTCCTAGGATCAAGATATTCTCACTGTTGCACTTCACAAATTAGATATAAGTACTTTGCAATCAAGCGTATTCGCACCGGCTCATCGAGAACTGCACTGTATAGGCCAAGCTACACAGTTCAGTAAAGCACCACAGTAATATACGCACATAGTAAAACACTATGCGCCAAATACTGCGATCGTAAATAATATTTGAGGTCAAATGATAGTGACAGTGTATATCGATCTTTCATCAAAGTAACAATTATTTCATTTAAAAATAACGCTGAAATGAATGGTTTGTTATTAATTACAAAAAAATAAATGCCTTTCGAATCAGTGTTCACAGTCATTACGAGTATTTCATAAGAAATACTAAAATGTTTTCATAATCTTCCGAGTATCAATAGTCAATAAATTAATTAAAACTGCGATTGCTGTTACTTGTATGTCATAAATTATCAATATTAAACATATAAAAAATTATGAGATGCATTTTTAGAAGATTACACACTATAAAATGTTTGATTTTATTATTTTTATAATAGTTTTAAAAAAAACTGCGGTATTTTGGGCGTCCGCAGTAATACCCATATTTACTCTATTACTGCTTGCCCGGAGGTAACTTCGGTGTGGGCGTGAATTGAAAATGAAACAAGCGGATTTATGGAATAAGGGAAACAGTCGACTCGATTCCTTGGTTTAAAAATTGCATGACATCTACTCCTGACATCTACTTGTCGGTAAACAGGTTACTATGCTGGATAAACAAAGTCCAGATAAACGGAGTTCTATTGCATCTTTACAAGCGCATACGGTTTCTTCAAACATGTGCTTGAATTTATTTTAAAATTATTCTATAACTAAGTTAATTTGGTTTCTGAACTTTTTCACCTTTGAAATGTTTTTTTTTACTCCTCTTGGAATTTTGCCGCTCTCAGACCATTATACACATGCGTCAGTTACCCTACTTGTTGTGTGACTTATTTTCCTGTGAACACTTGTTATGATATGAAATTTCAAATCAGTGCTTACGCATTTCAAGGACAGATGTAATAAATGCGTTATAAATTATAATTTATAATACATGTGTAGAAATTATATGCAATATGCAAAATATACAAAAAAGGAGATATTTTTAAAATCCACTTATGATAAAATATATTTGTTTTCCTATAAAAATTTGCATTTGCATAAAGATCCGCAATCTAGTTATTGATATCGCACACATTCATTTTGATTCTCGAGAGCAAATTGTTCTCGGATGGACAGGTAACCTATAAAATTTTTCGATATTTATATAGATCGATATTTTTGCCTATATATCGATCTGATAAAGCTGTCCAGGCTTGGAAAAGGTCAATACCGAGGAAGTATTGAAAAAAGTAGAAAGACTTTTAAGTTTATTTCTACCGTGGAATCCAGTCCACATCGCATTAGAAATCGACGCAACGCACTGACCTTTTATTAACAACTTTAACATTAAATATCTCAAAAACTATAGGCGAACTGACACCAAAACAGGGTATCATTGAATTCAGCTTTACAAGCTCTATCACAATACCAAATCTCATCAAAAAGTGAGTGTCACACTTTGGGTCCTTCCCTTGTCAGTGACTTGGAACCCATTCTCTCTGTTTTTCACTCCTTTCTTCATCTCCTCTAAATATTCTCATATCCTCTCTTCAACTAATTATCCACATAAAAATGCTATACTTCCGGTTATATTAGATTTTTCTACATACATATATGGTCCTCTTAACTTCAAGGAAATTTTTGGCATATGGCGATGAAAATATGATACTGATTCTTTAAAATTTTAACGAAATGTACTTGTATCTCATTTTGATTTCACGCCTTTTTTCTATGTCTCACTGTTACTTCTTCCTAAACTTTTGTAATTAATACAGAACGGAAATTTAAATAATAAAGAAAATATATGGAATGTATCTACTAGCTCATGTTGATTTCACTTCTTTTTTGTATGCACTCTTATTACTTGGGGAAAATAGTTTATAGCCATTTTTTCTCATGAAATTACTTTATGTACTTGGTGTACTATTCTTGCTTCTTTTATGTGGTCTTGTTAGGGGTACAAGTTTAGTGTAATGGAAACAAGAGTTTACACGCTAAACAGATTGGAATGCAATTAAAAAAGTGCTTTCATATTGTATGAAATATGGAATTTGTTCGGATGTCTATTCTTTGATTGAAGATTGTTTGGTATCTTTGAAACGCTATCATATTCAACATTCAGAAAAGGTGTTTTATAATGAATTTTTAATTTTACTTTTTTCTAAACATGCATCTTTGATGTGTTCCCAACTCCACAAATATTGAACTGTTCGAAGAAAAGGAAAAGTTGTTTCTTTCATTAAGAATAAACGTCTTATTGGTTTTCATATGTGAATATATAATTAATTACTTGAACAAACTATCTGCAATTACATAGTAGGAAGTCCGACAACTCATTTGACTTAATGATTTTATACCTTGGAAAAAGTTTTCTCTAACACTGTTAATAATTTCCTAGAAAAAATTCATAAAATTCGCTTACTTTTATAGTCATTACACAAAGACATCCTTATCAAATCATTTTTAGGTCACGCTGTATTAACATTTTTTATTCATAATGACAGATCAACATTGAATAAATAGAATGCTATAAGAATTTTTACTGCATAATGATTTAATTCAATACTGCAATTACAACATATAGGATCTAATTAAAATATAATGAAAATCGTGTAAAATAACATGCATTCTTACTTGAAGAAATAAATTACTCGCATCGTTATGTTTGCAGAATTATACGAATTTGTGAATATAATGGTTTTATATCACTCATCTTTCTGTTCTACCATTTTTTCTAGTTGCACTGGGAAAAGAGCTATGACTTGTAACAGTTTCGTTGGCCACTCTGTACAAGCATTTGTGCACCTTCAGTGATGGGATAGCATTGGTACATACACAGAAGCATGTCAACAGATGAGAGTATAAAACGTTTTTGCAGTTAAACGTGTGAAAGATGGAAAAAGTAAAAGAAGATCACAGTATAGTTCTGTTACTTATGAGGTGTTGGAGAATTGGGTACACACAGTGTGCAAGTTTGCATTTGCAATTTTTGTACAATGTATAAGTTCCTAAATATATTTATGTTGCTAAAGAGCATTGACATTAAGATCTTCCCTAGGTTTTGTGCAAAAATTAAAATGATCCATTCTGGAATCTGCAGATAGAAGTCAGATGTAGACAGTAAGTAAATATAAAACAAATGGAAAAGAGAGAATCGAATTCGTAATATTATGTATTTGAAATATGTTAACAAAGTCATCATTCTGAATAACTTTCTGATACATATTGCTGTCGTTCTCGGCTTTAGTTTCTGAGATAATTTCAAAAATATATTTCAAATAAAATATACATATTTCCAACTTATGGCACGAGTGCTATTAGTTTCTGTTGTTTTATAATTCACAATATTCGGCTCTAGGTTTGTTTATATGTCAATCATAGGTTATGTCACTCGAATTCGCACACCGCGTGCACAAAAGAGATCTGATCCTACGGAAATAACCGCACACGATGATGCATGGTCGAATGAACACAGGGAATGAGCCAATGATAGAAAGTCAAATTCCGGTGACAGCTAGGCGAAAAAATTGTAGCTAGGCAGTCGGTAATTTGTGATCTGATGTCAGTTTCAAGGCAGGGACGCGACTGACAGGACTTCGTACGACTAGACCAAATGGATTATTTCTACTGGCAGAAATTAATTGCTAAGTAATTCTCGATCTTAGGTCTTTGAATACCCAAAGATTTCTTCCTTGCAAGAATTATCTGATAAAGGATCGTATTTGAACGCCTGAACACGTGGAATGTCCCGTGATTGTCCACTTACACAAGCGATATAGGACAGCGAGCAGTTCGCTGATAGCGATCTTGGGCGCATATGTGTCCGCGACAGGAAAGAGACACTACTCTCTCGGCCCTGCGGGATGCATCCACTCACCCGAACGGCCGCGAACGATCTCGCATGATCGTGACGGCACCCGAAGCGCGCGCGCGCGCGCGCACATACACACGCATGCACACCCACAAATTAGGAAGCGATTCTAACAAGTATTAAAAAACGAATGACGTAAACAAATGATACAAAATATTCGTATCTCCGTGGACAATGTAACGGAGTAATGATTGCATATTCCATTACTTTCTCTTAAGCTGCACTCTAAGATAATGCGTTGAGTAGAGTCGAAGTCTTGGGATCAGGTCCAGACAAGCTTTTCGTCAGAGTATCTGCAGCAGCAGCATCATCTTCTCAGATGGCAAATATACCAGCTTGACAGGATAACCTTTCAATGCAAAACGAATGAAATGATGTTTCACCTCGTTATGTTTCGATTTTGAATGAAATACCGGATTTTTTACCAATATTCAAACACAATATAGAAACAGCATAGAAATTTGGTATGTCCTCTCGTACAGCATCGCTTCCGTTGATCACAGCACAACGGCAATCTAGCCAGCATCGACATAACCATTAAACAGTTCCCTGTCGCTTTTCAAAAATCTTAATCCAAGATTCAAGCTTCCCTTCAGGTACATCAGCGCTCCCTCCAGCACCTTCTTGCAAACCGGTGCATTATTTATTTTCTTTAACATTATATGAGCCCGTTTCGAAATATCTGGATCCGTTTCTTGAGACACCATTCTGATTAGCATTTCTTGTAGTATTTCCAGTCGCTGTATAAAGACTTCAGTATCCACCTTCCCGTTTGAATAAGCCGTTTCGACATCAAATTGAGTTATTTTTAATCCAAATTTCACAGCTAATGTCACCAATAACTTCATCCATCCCAGACGAGCGACTGAAGCAAATGTTTCGAAGGAATCGACACTAGGTGGCTGTGAAAATCGTTTTGCTACGACTCGTGCTTTTCTTCGTTCCATCGGCTCCATATTTATTCCGAAAAATGGTGCGACATTTTACTATCTTCCCGTGCGTTGGTTTATCTACGCGATCAAAAATATTATTTTTAACGAGACTTTTTATCTCGGAATAAATCGCATTTTCCATTCTTTGTCAGACCCGGAGATAGCCTGTATAAAAGGAATCTCACTAACTCCTCGCTTGACCTCCTCGCTATGTTTAAGATGAACATGATTGGTTCGAAACATTGTTGATTACAATGATGTACTATCTTGCGGGAAGTCCTAGCCTGCCAGTTTTAATTTTTCCACCTGGACTTCGTTTTTTCTGTTGAAATGATCTCAGTGGGTCATCCGTAATTACAGGACAATGCTCTATGATCGAAACATTTGATCATGACGGTACCCTTTTTTGTGGAGGTAATCACTAATTGCGGATACCCCGTTCTCTTACGAGAGAGAGGCCGAGGCTATGCGGGGCTCTCTCGTTGTGTCAGTCAGCCGCTCCACATGGGATTACGACCAGTTTCCCAAGTATATCCGCTAACTTCTTCACGTCCATCCCTAAAGCGCTAGGGGGTCCCCGTGATAAGGAATGTCCAGTCTTATACATTCATCCTGTGAGGGAGCCGGCACACTCTGTTTGGCTATTCGTGGGTACCATGCAACAGACTACATGACACCCCCCCCCCCTGTGTCGCCCGTTGGGTAACCGAGTTTCCGCTCGGGTTCCCCCGACAACTTCCGGGGACTCCGTTCCAGAGGAGATGGAGCCCCCTGATTCACCCTTAGAAGTTTTTCATCGGAGATGTACGAATAGCGCGCACCCTGTTTCGCCTTTCTACCCTCCTCCCTTCTCCCGGGATCACCATTACGGATGCGTTCCCGTTCAGCCTCCTCCTTTTGGAGCATTACTGACTCGCAAAAGCAAGCCAGCCCCTCCCAAGCTCTCTCGCTCCGGGCAACTTTTAGAACGAGGGCCGGGAGCGTGATGTCCTCCCCTCCCTGCGGCGTTTCGGAGGGCAGGGCGTTCGTCTGTTCATGCCGGACAATCCTCCAATGTGTGTTGCACCGTGTCCTCCGGAGCGCCGCAGTGATGGCACCGCGGCGATGTCTCCTTCCTTATTTCGTGATGGTACCCTGTCAATGGTAGCACGATCAGAAACCGACTCGATGATCGGTGTATCGGCTGATTGGGATAGTGGCACTCTGTGGATGACACTCTGAGCAGGATTATAAGTAAACTCCAACTCTTCAACATTGGTTTGGTCACGATTGGCTAGATTGGAAGGATATTTTGTGTTGAATCGTACGTCATGTGCCCCACACATTGCCTTCGAAGTTAAAAAATATCCTAGAAACACGACATCTCACGGTTGTAATTTATTTTTACCAGGAGATTTATCCAACACTAAAGTTTCGTAGATTTGAAACATCTGGACATCTTCAAGTCCACAACTCATACGGTGTCTTGGATCCCAGTATCTTGGTGATGCATCTGTTTTGAACGTGATTTGCCACAGCACCTACTTCGCCCTAGAATGACCGTGGTAGTCCTGATTCAGCCAACATTATTTATGCCATTTTAATAAGGATCCCACTCTTTCGTTTTTCTTTTTTTTTCATGGAGATAATAACTAATTACGGATTACGGATTGTGCGAGTTTGCCTGTTTGCCCTTCTTGGGCAGCAGTACCAGCTTGCTCTCCTTGCAGATTGTGGAGAACTCCCCCACCCTGATGCAAATACCTGGCCATAACAAGCTTGTAGACGCGACCCCATGGATCAGTGTCCAATGTTCCCAACAATTCTTTTCATACCCTCTTCTTGGCCCCAGAGATTGTGCTATGGAGTTCCGACAGGGCTTCGCGGTAGGTCTGGCAACATGCAAGAACTTGCGCCTCTGTGCTAGACTATCTTCTCGCGGGCGTAAACCGGCGCCGAGTTGCGTCGCATGCCTTGCGCAGCCCGGCAATTTCCGTGTTCTATTTCTATGGTAGCCCCTTCCGGCTACAGGGCATTGCGGTGTCACATACCGCGTGCAACGCCTCCCGCAGTCGCCGCGCCCTTTGCTCCCGCGATGCCGCCATTGCTGCGGTCTTTAGCAAAAATTCGTCAATCTGCTTTACCAGCCATCGCCGGCTGGCCTGTCGGGGACCCCACGCGTCGCTGGGGACGGTCTCCACGTCAAAGATGGTGGGAATGTGATGATCACAGCGGCCGTCTTCAGGGTGTGATCCAGCTTGTGGTTTCTCTTCTCCCTACCGGATCTGGGTGTTCCAATGTTTCCCCGTGTCACGAAGTGGCCCTTTTTCTTTTCTAAAGGTCCGCTGCCGGTGGTTGGAGGGCCTGACGGAACCCGGCTCCGTTAATGATGCATCCGTCCCCCGCCCTACCGACCACCAGAATCTACTGTTCCCCCCTGGTTGGGAACCCGTTGTTTGGAGGCACGCGATGTTCCCGGTTCCCCGCAACTGGTATGGATCTTTCCCGAGTTCTTCTCCCTTCTTTCCTTCTTCCCCGATTCGTGGCACTCCCTCGACCATCGCTCGGTTCAGCCGTATTCCAGTACATCCTTGTTCCTGTAGACTACGACCTGTTCCAGAGTCCACAGCCAGTTTTCCATGGACGTTATTCGAGAATTTATCAGATTCTGAATTTTGGCCACGGCCCCTCGCTGCGGCCTCTGTTGGGTCCGTGACCTTTGCTTTTTTCGGCGCCACCGTTTCCATCAAAGCGTTCCGCTCCTTCTTTAGGGGCTCGATCTCTCTGGTCAGCGCTGTGACTTTGCGGTTCAAGACTTCTACCACGCTCCTTAGGCGCTCATATTCTTTAAACACCTCTCGTCCTGTCGACGCCGTCGAGTATTCCGTCCTCATTAGAATGGCCAGTCTGGCGCGCGTCGTAATTATAGCGTTCTTAACGCCACGACTCAAATCGTTTTTTGATAAGAGGTATGCAAGTGAGACACACAGGTTAATTACTTAGCACAACGTGGTTTAATGAACACTAGTACAAAACGTGGCTAGCGCGCACATGGGTTACACAGACTGGGACAATAAGAAACGGGCAGAGTGGTACGCGGCCGACTCGCCGCTGGCGCGTCGGTGGCGACCTCTGGGCGGCCAGGATGAGGCACTAAGGGATACGAAGATATCCCTAACCTGTCTCTTATACACATCTAGATGTGTATAAGAGACAGGTGTTAGGGATATCTTCGTATCCCTTAGTGCCTCA